TTTTGGTTTTAACCTCAGTTCCTGTTTGATAATGTTTTTAAAATATTTATTTCCTTATGGCTTGTTAATTGTAATTGCCCTATATGTTCTCGCCATGTTATTTTGTTGTTCAAATGCATTACTAAAAATCTAATATAAGGATTTACTGTAATTGGTTTTCAGTATAACGTAAGATTTGGCGTGGTATTTATATTTGTTTTTTGGTTTTCGCAAAAAAATTCAAAGCCAATGTTCTGAGAACATGTTTACAGTTTGTTTATAAAGCTTTGTAAATATTTCGTCATACTAGATATCTATATTTTTTACCTTTGCTTCTTCTTCTTCTTCTTCTTCTTTGAGCGCCTCTATTATCGGAGATTGGATATCATTATGGCGATTCTAATCTTATTTACTGCTGTTTTCAATAATTCGTTAGTGGTACAGCCAAACCACTCTCTTAAATTTCTCATCCAGGACATTCTTCTACGGCCTGGATTTCTGGGTCCTTGGATTTTTCCTTGCATTATATTTTGTAGGAATGTGTACTTTTTCCTCTCATCAGGTGGCCTAAGTATTCAAGTTTTCTCTTATTTATATTCATAATAACTTATGGATCGTTATTTATCCTGCGTATTACCTCTTCATTTGTAATTTTATCCACCCAACTTGTACTCCATATTGTACCCACTTGTATCCATCCAAAGTACTGAATACATAGCATTTTAACATTCTAGTTCATAGATGAATACTAATATCACGATTACAGAATATTTTTTTCTTTTTAATTAAGGTAGACCTGGCAATTTCAATACGTCTTTTTATTTCGTGATTTTGGTCACCTGTTTAATTGATGAGGGATAATTTACCTTTGCAAATAATACTAAATCGTCAGCATACATCCGTGCTTTTAAAGGGTTTTCTATGTTCTTCAAAATATCATTAATTGTTATTCTTGCGAATAATATAATTATCAAAAAGTCCGTTTGGTAAAAAAATTATTGAACAACAAACAGTGCCCCGGATATTCCACTCATATAAAGTTTTTAAATTCCTGTGTTTCCTGGCAGTATTAAAGACATTTTTTAAGTCAAAAATTATACCCATACATTCTCTATTAGTTGCAAACGATTACATAATATCCATTTTGCTCGGTAATCTGCAATCAATTTGTTTTCCAATATTGCCATTAATCTACTGTTAACGATTTTTTCTATAAGGTTACACATGTAACAAGTTATTGAGATTGGCCTGTCTGATTCCACGCTATATCGTGTTGATTGTCTTTTAAAAGAAGTAGGACGTAGGAATTAGTACATATTAGTATATAGGTAAAATTGAAGGAAAAAGGGCCCCAGGACGAAGAAGAATATCCTGGCTTGCTAACCTGAGAGCATGATATAGAAAGACCTCAACACAGCAATTCGGTATAGCAACCAACAAAGTCATCATAGCCAGAATGATCGCCAACGTTCGGAACGGACAGGCACCCTAAGAAGAAGAAAGGAAACCACTGTTGCATCCATATGAAATTAAATATATCAATAAATATTTGGGTTATTTCGAAAAATGGTTGGGATATCATCGAGTCCAGGAAGAATCTTTAAGACTTGAAAGAGTTAAAATAAGTTTTTGAAATGTAATGGGGCTACTAATTGCTACGTTAGGATTTTCATTATTAGGAAGATTATAGGTTTCAAATGTTGAAGGTGAAGAATCTGCGCGGATATTTTTGTGGGTTAAGAGACTTTCGTAAAAATCCGCTTGTGGATATTAATTTTTTGTACATTTAACTATTTGATAAAAGTCCTCTACGGAGTGCCACAAATTTTTTTACTTATTTTTTACCAGATTCCTTTGAAGCTGTGTTATTTATTTTCGATTCAAACTTTTGTGATTTCTTTTAACTTGCGTTATAATAAGCTGCGTTTTTGTATTTTTAAAATTTAAAAATTTTTAAAATTAATTCTGTTTTGCGGCGTCTTGGGATTTTTATAATTAATAAAAGCAGATTTACTTTTTTGATATCTTTAGCATTCTTCATGCCATTTTTGCATTTTTTAGACCACCACGGTACTGGTATAGGGTAAGTCCGGGAGAGATGGCTCACATTTTTTTGATTATCTGTATCTTGGCACAGAAAAGTCTACGCTCTGAAATATTTATATATTTATAATAAAATACCATTAGAAGAAAGTATACAGAGTTGGTTAGGCCAAATTAACATATTTTGAGCAGTCTTCATGAAACCAAGAATTGCAATGCAGGAACTATACCCAGTCTTCTTGTTTCGATGTGGTTAAATATATTTCCCACAGCCAGTACATTGACAATTTATTTCATCTTGTAGATCATCACTATGGTCTTAAGTTATTTCCATATGATTGTCTAATAGAATTCTGTCAAGAAACTGAGTCCGCCATTACAAATACCTGGTTTCAACTTCCAGAAAGGTGTCTTTACACGTGGAAACCCCTCAAGATGGACATCAAGGTAGAATAGTATGAAACCAAATAGACTACATTCTAATAAACCACCGATTTTAAAACAATATTAAAGATGTAAAAACTTAAACCGGCGCTGACATAAACTCAAATCACAATTTGCTCTGCTAGTCTGCTCCAAAATACAACTTAAATTATATATCTCGACCCCCTGAAAAACTCTTAAACGCGCGAACACGTATCAGAGCATCAATAGTAAAATACACAGAATATCAAATATATCAAACGCAAACAGAACCATTAACGAATGCTGGTATGATATTCAAAACTCGATTTTAGAGAACGTACCAGAGTCTTTGAAAACACCTACCATGTTGGCGAAAAATGAGTGGATGGCACAGAAAATTCTAGACCTGCTGGAAGTTCGACGGCAACACAAAAATGGAAATATTATCGAATACCGTGAAATCAATAAACCAGAAAAATAAAAATTAAACAAGCCAAAAAAAAAACAGAAAAATGCTCACATATTAAAAAGCGCGGACAGAAAAATTTGTGATCACGAACAAAAGTCCAAAGAATGAAATAGATACATCACTGACCTTTTTGACGATGCTTCTAGAGAAAATGCTCTAAATACTGCCTGTGACAACCAGTTAGACAGAGGTCCCACTATACTGAATTCGAAATTTACAACGAAGGAAAAATACCAGATGATTGGTTAAAGTCACTGTTTATAACATTACCAAAGAAAAGCAGGCCCACCAAATGCTGCGATTTGAGACTAATTAGTTTGATGAGTCACACACTGAAGAAACCCTTACAAATTGTACAAAACCGAGTATTCCTTCTATGCGAAACTAGGATGGGTAATAAGCAATTTGGATTTAGAAACGGTCTAGGAAATAGAGAGGCACTATTTTGTATGCGCGTTCTATTACAAAAAAATTTTGAATTCCGAAAGAATGTTTATATTTGTTTCATCGACGTCGAGAAGGCGTTCGATAGAGCACAACACGATACACTTTTTGATTGCCTACGGGCAGCAGGACTCGATCACTATGATATAAGACTGCTGAAATATTTATATTACAATCAAGTAGCCTCTATCCAAATTGCAGACAGTCTGACTGAAAAAATATCCATCAAACGTGGAGGTCGGCAAGGTTGTGTTTTGTCACCCACTCTTTTTAATCTGTACTCTGAAGAAATCTTTAGGTAGGCTTTGGATGACAGACAAAAGGATGACAGACAACGTTCTATATACTGACATCTGACGGTATACCAATTAATTATTTTTCACAGTAGCAGAAAAATCGTACCTTTTGTCCTAGCAAAAAACAATACTAGTTGTTGTTTATTATTGTTAATGTTAAAATTAGTTACGATCTTCTTCTTCTTCCTATGCCGTCCCCATTAACGGAGGTTGGCGACCACATTTTTAAAAGCTTCTCTGTCTTTTGCAACGTGGAATAATTCGTCTACAGTCATGTTTGTCCAGTCTCGAATATTTCGCAGCCATGACTTCCTTTTTCTACCTATTCCCTTTTTGCCATCGACTCTACCCTGCATGATGACCTGCAGAAGACTATATTTATTATTTCTTAATATGTGTCCAAGGTATGCAGTCTTGCGTACTTTTATCGTTCTCAACAATTTTTTGACTCGACCCATTCTTCTCAGCACTTCCTCATTGGTGACCCTGGCAGTCCATGGGATTCTCAACATTCTCCGGTATATCCAAAGTTCAAAGGCTTCAATCTTTTTAACTATTTGCGCTTTTAGTGTCCATGTTTCTACCCCGTACAATAATTGCGACCAGACGTAACATTCAACAAACCTCAGTCTCAGCGCAATATTCAGATTTTTCGCTTCTATTCGTTCATTTCTATTCGTATCTGGATCTCTTGGTCTGGATCTAATTCTGTGTTGATCTAAGCTCCCAGATATTTATATTTTGTCACTCTCTCTATTTGCTGTCCACCAAGAGTTAGTTGTTCATTATTTATTGGACTCCTTGATACTATCATAAATTTGGTCTTATCTGTGTTGATGTCAAGTCCCATTTGAATACATTCACTATTTATTGCATCTAGTAAAGTTTGTAGATCTTCTATACTCTCAGCCATAATTACCGTGTCATCTGCAAATCTCATGGTGTTTATGATTTCTCCACCAATTCTTATTCTTATTAGTCGATTAGTTACGATCGATGAACTAAAATATCAAGAGCCGAGACAAGCGTAGATACTGTTTACAACTTTTGTCAGGGTTGTACTGATAAGTTGATTGGTAAGGGAGAAGTTTACATATAAAAATTATTTTATTATATAGGCGCAGGATTTTTAGTTTAAGTGGAATAGTAGGAAATAAGATAGCATTCAGTCGACAAAAATATGTTTTGTTTTTTATAAAAAAATTGTTATTTTATTTATTTATTTTGATTATTTCTTTTTCTAATTCCATTTATCCTATTTCTAATAAGATTAAGAAAACTTAAAGCCCTTAATTATTATCTTAACTTATTCTCAACTACCACACTAAGTTATTATATTAACAAATATTTTTCTTTTGTTACAGGACACTACAACTTCCACCGAGATGTGACCACGACAATCTCTTTTATATTGCCCATAATTTCAATAACCCTATTGGTAAATTAAGGACATCAAAGAGATCAAAAGTAAATTAAATCAAAGTGAAATTTTAACATTATAAACTTAAGATATTGATGGACGGAATGTGTTAAATGATTGTGATTTTTAATAAATGTGATTTCTGTTTTAAAATCAAAATTGGCAAAATGCGCAATAATATAAATAAACATGATTATTTATATGATAGAAATAAGTTTAAATAAACGTTATCCCTAAGAAAACAATATCTGTTTATATTACCTAGTTAGACCTTATATGTCTATGCTTTATAGATTACTAGAAAGCATTCGATTGTGTTAATAATTCAGAATTAGTAAGATTGCTCCAGGAACGTTCAAAAGATGATTAAAATCATAAACCTTTATATAAATCAGGTGGCATCTGGGAGAGTAGGACTGGAATCTACGTCATATTTCTTAATCGAAAAAGGTGTACGACAGGGTTGTGTTCTCTCACCCTCCTTTTTAATCTTTACTTTTAAACGATTTTAGATAGAGCCTTAAGTGACACTGAAGATGGAATCAAAATCAGTCGACAGACTATTAGTAATCTTCGCTATGCTGATTATACAGTCATAATACCTGATAGCCAAGAAGTGCTACAACGACTAATAGATAGAAGAAACACTGAAGGAGAACGACTGGGCTTGAATATTAATATAGACAAAACGAAGGTAATGGTGGTTAGTAGAACACGAAATACGCAATTAAATATAAGAGTAAACAACAAGAACATTTAAAACGTCCCCAAGTTTAGATATCTCGGTAGTTGCATAACTGAAGATCTAGATCCAGACATAGAGATAAGTAGCAGGATCGAGCAAGCCAGAACAGCATTTACTAATATAAGAACATTGCTAAGCAACAACAGCCTCAACTTAACGCTTCGATATCGCTTTGTAAAATGTTACATTTACTCCATACTGCTATATGGTGTATAAACCTGGACCATAAAGGCCAATGTGATGAACCGATTGGAGGCCTTTGAAATGTGGGTATTTAGAAGACTACTTATAATTCCCTGGACAGATCACACAACAAATGTCGAAGTATTAAATCGAATGGGCGGAGAACGAGCATTGCTGCCAATAATAAAAAGAAGAAAAACTGCTTATCTGGGTCAGATATTTTGAAATTCCAAGTACCAGTTCTTAAAGCTTATTATGGAAGGGAAGGTAGAAGAAAAACGAGGCATCGGAAGAAAGATATACTCATGGCTTAAAAACATAAGGGATTGGACAAACCTCGATGCCCATGCACTTTTTAGAGCCACACAAGATCGAGAGGAGGATGCCAGAATTGTCGCCAACATCCACTAATTGGATAGGGCACCATAAGAAGAAGAAGTTAGACCTAAGCAAATACACATAAAATCAAACGAATTTAACAAAATAGTATATCCCTTTCCGCACGTACCCACACAACCGTGTGGGATGGTTTTGAATGGATGTAAAACTGCTAAATCGTAAAATCTAGCTTTCAGTACGAACGACGATAGTGGTGTAGGTTCAGTGTATGCTTTGCGCTGCCTGATACGATTATTGGATTTATTTTGTTTTAACAGTCACAGCTTGTCTTGAAACAATAGCGGGTCGTCAATTCAGTAAGAAATGTAAGTAGATTTTTGTTATTAAAAAATGTCAATAATAAAATGTAAATGCATGTAGATTACTAATACATGTGTATAGACAGCACCTACACATACACATTTAAAAAATGATATTAATAATCTCAAAATATCCAATTACATTATTATCAACACAATTGTGTGGGTTGGGTTATCATTATTGTCCTTCTCTTTTTTTGCAGATATTAACTTTAACAAACCAGAAGATATCGAAGAGGCAATAAACATTATTCATGAAGATTCAGAACACCAAGGCTTTAGTAATGACTCAGATTCTGGCCCAGTGTGGAGTATTGAGCCAAATAGCCTTCGCAAAAGCCCCAGAGACAGCGAATCCTCGGATTCTGACCAAGAAGGAGAAGATACTCGTAAAAATTCCCTAATTCACAACAAAAACCCGTGTTCACAAAATAACGTTGAGGCTCCTGGTCCTTTCGGTGTAACTGCAGCTCCCATATTTGATCAACAACAAACCACTGGAAACCGTAGTTCTAAAATTAAAAAGCCTTCATTTCGGTGAAGCAAACGTTCATTTTAGGGCATCGAGAATAAAACCAGATCAAAAAGATTTTCTAGGTAATCGAACAGATATAATTGTTCAGAGTCTAATGCAGTATTTTCCAGATAGCCATTTCCAGCAGGCAGCTACGTATACGAATATGTATTGTTTGTCTAAGAAAGGTACATAACTTAATACAACACCATTTGAAATAATGAAACTCTATGGTGCCTATCTTGTTTTTGGATGTATACCTTATCCACATTTGCACTGGTACTGCAAAATGGGATTAAGATTACAGAGTGCTGCTGATGTTTTGCCCAGGAAGCGTTTTACTTTGCTTAGAACGTGTCTTCACTTTTGATACAGAGAAGCCACCAGATGATCTCACTAAAAATAAGTTATGGAAAGTTCGACCCGTTATCGAATGTATGAGAAATGCATGTCTTAAAATTGAAAGATCAGTTAATAACTACAGTATTGATGAGCAAATGATTCCCTTTACCGGCCGTTGTCATTTACGTCAATATGTAAAGGGAAAACCAAAGTCCACAGGCTTGAAAAATTTCGTTGTTGCTTCATTCACTGGAATAATCTTAGATTTTGAAATATATCAAGGACGATTGACTCCACTGCCAGATATAAAGTATGGATTTGGACCAGCAGTTGTTTTAAGACTGAGGTCACCTTTGCCTCAGGGAAGTTTTTTACATGTTGATAGATATTTTACAACCTGTAATCTAATTTCTCGTCTAAATGAATTAAAGTTTTATGAAACTGGTACTGTCATGAACAACCGAATTTCCAAATTGAATTTCTCGCCAGATAAGAAATTTGGAAGAGAAGACAGTGAACAGTTTTATTGCAGTGAATAAAACATGGTTGCTGTTAAATGGCGGGATACCAAATCCGTTACTATGTTGTCAAATGCGTCAGGGATTGAACCGGAACAAAGTGTCAGAAGGTGGTGTAAGACAGAAAAATGATACGTAGACGTGAAATTCCCTGAAATAGTATTTTTTTTTGTTTGTTTTTTTTTTGTTTTTTGTGTGTTTTGGCTTGGACAATTGTCATTCAGCCAGTCTCAATCAAGATAAGTTTATTAATGTAGTGTGTGTGTTTGTTTGTGTAGAGTAATTGTCTTGATACTTAGCAAAGTCGACGTCATTGTCTTTGCTAAGAGACGCAAATTGTATCCGAACGTCTGCGGTCCCTCCGGTGAGTACCGATTACACAAGGATAGAAATTATTTTCATTTATTAATTTTTTTAATAAACGAAGATTTCCACCAAGGTGAGATTCGAACTCACGACCTTTAGGTTTAAAAGTAGGCGCTCTTACCACTGAGCCACAGACGAGGGGGTTCCCTGAAATAGTAAGAACCAGTCGAATGCATTGAATGCAAATTTTCAGCACACTTCAAACGCACTGATGGCAATATTGTGCCATATAGATGTCAATACTACAGTTGTGATTAATACTAACAGTATTTGTAAATACAGGGTCCTAATTATTTTATTAATTAAAAAAAAAAATAATAAAGTTGTCGGAATTCATACTTTCTTATATAAGAGGCATATCATTCCATAAAAAAAGTGAGTTTAGTTTTTATCTTTTCAGATAAATGTTTTGCTAACTTTTGTGACTTTTAGGTTCACTCTTATTTTATTTGTATTGGATTGCAAATTGGCTAATGCGAGTTCAGATTCTAAAAACAAAAACTTAAAAAATTTAGAGTAAGTTTTTCTTTATTTATTTTAATGGTAAGAAATTTTCAAATAAATTTAATTATTTTAGCACAGTTTGAAAATGAGAAGTACAGAGTTTCACTGAAACAATAGATAATATATACTCTACTGACGATGAAAATGAAGAAACTGACATGTCTCTTGGATGTGAAGACTTCATAGATTGCCATGGTTTTGATTCAGATAGAGACAGGGAATATGTACCACCTGTTTGTGGAGAAGACTCTAGCGATTCTAATAGCGATGAAGAAAAACCCATTGTTTCTGTAGTTGCAAATAGAACCGAAGGTGTGACTACTTAAATCGAGTTATACAAAACACCAATTCGCAAAAGACAGAGGAACCCAAGTACTTGGAAAAGTAGTATTAGAAAAGCGGCACATGATGCAGGAAAAGAATACATATCTGTTAGAAGAAAAGTTGTTCCAGCCAAAACAACAAAAACAATAAAAGACAGTACATCTAAGTGTTTGTATAAATGCCAGCAACTTATAACAGAAGTTAAAAGGGGACAGATTTTTTCAACGTTTTTACACGTTAACAGAACATGCAAAGAGATTATTTCTATTAGCAACCTCAAAAAAATTCATTGTAGAACGACAAAGAAAAATAAAAATGATTAAAACAGAAGAAGAAACAGACATTTAATTATTACTTTAAATAGGCAGTCGAGAAATTCAGGTCTGTAAAACCTTTTATTTGAGCACCTTATCAATCAGTCAAACCCCTGTATACACAGCTTATTTGAAAAAGGACATTATTTTAAATACACCTGATATGCCTGCCCAAGGAAAACCCATAAAATATAAGATACCTGAAGAAGATGTCAATTTTGTAAGGAAACACATATAATCATTCCCTGCAGTAGAATCTCATTACTGTAGAGCTAATACACAACGATGGTACTTACAGTCATCTTTGAGCATTAAAAAAATGTATAATCCTTACTCCGAACTTTATAATGAATCCAATAAACAACCAGTAAAAGAGTCTTTTTATCAGCAACTAGTTTGCAATGACTACAATATTTATTTTCATGTACCTAAGAAACATCGTTGTGATCTATGTGAAGAGATCAAACTAAAACATAAGGAAGGTATATTATTGAAGGCTGAACAATCAACAGTATATGATCAGCATATACAAACAAAGAATGCGGCTCGTGAAGAAAAAACGAAAGGTAGAGAAACTTACAATAATTTTTTGGTGTTTGACTTATAAAATGTCTTGAGCTGTCCTCATGTTGAAGTAAGTAACTTTTATTATAAAAGTAAGTTAA